GCTGCAGGCATTTACTCAGGCACCTCCTTTCCCATGGAATGCCAGGCTCTGGCCCCACTCCACTTGCAGAACTCCAGATTCACCCAAGGGATGTGCTCTCTGTGTCCATGGCACTTTTACAGAACTTTCCTTGGGGCCTTGGTGACATTCCGGTTTGTGTTCAGTTTATATCAATATTTCATCTCTTTCTAAAGATAACTGTAGAAAGGACCACTGCAGTCTGCAACCTCTAATTGGAGTGTGTATTTGGGCACATGCATGGGATAAAGACAGAAGTACAATGGAAATAACAGTAAATTTGAATCCTGACTCTTCATCAATTCATTTTGTTCTATCTATTGATGCCTACTTGGAGTGACCTTAAACAAATTTGGACCTCCTTGAGTCTCAGCTCCCTCACTTGTCAAGATGGAATCATGATATTTATGCCACAGGGTTGCTGCAGGATAGGCAATGACGTGCATACCCATCTGCCTCTACCATAGTTCTGTTCTGAGCCCTCCCTTGGGTTCCAGTAACAGCTTTTAGTGATTCATGTTGACTCTGTCATGAACATTCCCTTGCTGCTGACTTCTTTCCAGCTTGAAGGAGCATGCCATGGAGATCCAGCCACAGTGTGTTCCCCCGGTGGGCACACTCCAGGCCTTCTTGCCCCTGGTCAGGTGGGATAGATCATTGTGGCTTTTCGTGGAGGTGGAGTAAGGTCTTGTATCAAAGCCTGGATAGAGACATGCATCTCCCCTCCTTGCTGAGTATAATCTCACTGCCAACTGGTATCTGGGCCCATGCTGGAACCCATGTTTGGGGAAGCTCAGCCTGGCTGAAGCCAACAGGACTGGTAGCCTGGTTATTACGGGATATCAGCCCTCCCATAGACCAACTGAGAGCAGGGAAGTTTGCTCAAAACTAGAGGAAAATGAGCTCAGTTTCTTTAGGAAACTGAGTTAATATATTCTGAGTGTCTTTCTGGCATTTTAGCTTTTCAGTCTTGTCTTTAGGAATTCAGAAAGCAAATTGATCTTTAAAATGATAGGCGCTAGTACAGGGATGTGTATGTGTGAGTATGCATGTGTGTGCATGTGCATGTATGTGTGTTTATTGGTTTATTAATGTTAGACCTAGTTACCAGGTCACCAACATCATTTTGGTGTTGCAAAAATTGAGATACTTTTAAGTTACAGTCCCAGGACACTTTCCTGAGAAGGTGGCTGAAGACCTCTATACTATGCAGAAAGAGCCAAGCCATGGAGCTAGAGGTACTGGCTTCCTTCCTCACCAACTCTGTCACTTAACTTCTTTGAGTCTTTGTGTTCTCATCTGGAAAATGTGGGGCAGGAATAAAAGCTTTTCTTCCTCTTTGTTGCAAGAACTGAATAAAGTATGATAATGGTTGACATGTTTTATAAACTCCAATGTGGTAGGAGGATATTAATTGACATGTTATATTGTCAATATAAATGTAAATAAACATTTATATAAATATATAAAAATATAAATGAGATCTTGTGTGTCTAGAGTCTATGGTGAGCCTTCAGTGAGTGCCTCCAGGCCAGAACATCAGGCCATGGTTGGAGAATGTACCCAGGTAATTGTTAGGCATCCAGTTTCTTACTCTGACCCCTAATCAGAGAGCACACTCCTGAGAGCATGACCACAGACCACCCTCACCAGAACTACCTAAGGAGCTCATGAAAACACAGACTTCCAGACCTTCTGATATGGAAAATCTGGGGGTATGACCCAGGAATCAAACTCTTTAACTGGTACCCCAGGTTTACCAGGTGACTCTGATATACATTGAAGTGTGAGAATCACAGATCCAATAGTGACCCCAAAGCATTGGTTGATTTACTCCACAGACAGTACTTGGGCACTGTCTTAGTCTGTTTTGTGCTGATAAAACAGAATACCTGAGACTTGGTAATTTACAATGAGTAGAAATTTATTGTTCATGGTTCTGGATGCTAGGAAGTCCAAAATTGAGGGGCTGGTATCTGGTAAGGGTCTTCTTGCTACATCATCCCCTGATGGAAAGTAGAAGTGCAAAGGGAGGGGGAGAGAGAGAGAGAAGAGAAGGGGGGGCAAACTCATCTTTTTATAAGAAATCCATTCCCGCGATAATGACACTAATCTATTTATGAAGGCAGTGCCTCCATGACTCAGACACCTCCCATTGGGCCCCACCTCCCAACACTGTTGCATTGGGAATCAAGTTTCCAACACATGAACTATGGGGGACACATTCAAACTATAGCACAAATAGCTCCTGTTTCATGCCAGGATCTATTTGTTGGGGACACTTCTTTGGCAGCAGGAAAGACACACAGATGAACAGTGTCCTCTACTGTCATATACCAAGTGTTCAATGAAGACATGTAGCCAACACTGAAATCTGTAGGCCACATGAGGGGATCCAAGGGATGAAGATGTTGTTAGCATTTTGCTCTGTTTCCTTCTCTGGGAAGCAGAACTCAACATACCTTACCTTATGTGATCGTCACCACAGATCTGAAAGGTAAATAAGGAATCCTAGCCTCAGCGATGCTGAGTAACTTGCCCAGGGTCCTATGAAGTCAGTGAGTGGTGTGTTGTTAAATGTTTAACCACAGGCTGGTGTGGGAAGAGCCCTGATTTGTGGAGTTTGCTGATTTCTATAGGGCAAAAACTCTCCCTGTGCTGGATTTTAAGCTACCAACATGCTGTCACTGAAGCAGAGATGGAGAGAGATGCCCATAATGGGCCCTTGTGAGCTGGTGTGAGCTGGTGTGAGCTGGTATGAGTTGGTGTGAGCTGGTGTGAGTTGGTGTGAGCTGGTGTGAGTTGGTGTGAGCTGGTGTGAGCTGGCTCTAGAATGCCACTGTCTGCAGTTGTCAGTCACTCAAATAGCTGTCAAAGAGTGTCATCTGTGGACACACAGACAAGAGACGGCATCTTGTTTCTGCCCTCCTGACACCTCATTTCATGAGCATCTAATAAAGTTTGGATGTTTGTCCCCTCCAAATCTCATGTTGAAACATAATCCCCAATGTTGGAGGTGGGCCCTGGTGGAGGCGATTGAACTGCGGGGGCAGATCCTTCATGAATGAGTTGGCACCACCCTGAATGATTTCTTAGTCCATGAGAGATCTGGTGATTTACAAGCCTGGGACCTCCCCCTTCTCCTTGCTTTCACTCTTGCTATGTGACTTGCCTGCTCCCATTTTGCCTTTTGCTTTGATGAGAAGCTTCCTGAGGCCTTCATCGGAAACTGAGCAGTTGCTGGAGCCATTATTGCACACCTTGCAGAATCATGAGCCAATTCAACCTCTTTCCTTTAGAAATTACTCAATCTCAGGTATTCCTTAAGGGCAAAGAAAATGGCATAATACGGCGTCTTGGTATTATGATGCGCTTGGTACTATGTGAAGGGAGATGATTAAGTACAATGAGGGCTCTACCTTCGGGGGTAGTCAACCAGGTCCTTGCTTGGCGTACTTTATCTAGCGGCTTGAGGCCCAGGAATGTCCAGTCATCACTGGCCACACCAGGAAGCTTTGGGATAGGGCTGTCTGTGCCTAGGACAGGGACCTGAGGTTGCTGACATGGTGCAGTGGGTCACTGCAAGGCAGCATCTCACGGAGGTGAAGGGGGCTGCAGCGGCCCTGAGAGCTGCCCCTGTCTGTCCCCTTCCCCACAGAGTTTTTATTGAGAACAGAAGGGCCACAGTCCCTGCACACTTTTCTAAGGGGAGACAGGGGTTCCTTGTGTCCAGGGTCTCTGTGGCCTGAACCAGGCCTGGCAGCTGGCACCCTCCCCATTTTCTGAAGAGTTCTGGCATGTTATGTCAGGCAGGGCCCTCATAAATTAGAACGTGCTGCCTCACCAGTCTCAGGGCAGATGAATGTGTGGCTTTAGGGCTGCAGAAGGCAGCTGCTGGAACTCGGGACAGGACAGCCAGTATCCATCACACCAGGGCTGATTGTGGACAGCCTGGCCTGCCCAGCTGGGAGCAGTCGGGGTCAGATAAAGGCCTCTCCCAGCTGTAGAGATACCCAAGGGATGTAACAGAGAGCCTTGGGGTCCCAGCAGCAGGCTTAGGATGCCACTGAAACTCCGGCTGTTGGGTGAGGGAAAGAAGGCACTGTGCATCGGGCAACCCCAGGCACGTAGCAGCTGTTCTTGGGACAGGCAGGCTGGGACTCTCACGCCAAGGTCTGGCAGGATGACATGCAGACGGGGACAGGTGGCACTGGGGCGTGAAGGTGTCCAGGCATCCTTTCCTTTTCTCAGAGAGATTTCCTTGACTCAGCCTGTCTTTGACACACACTGGGGGATGGGGCTGAGGGGGGAAGGGAGCCACAGAGAGCCAATCACCCTGCACCGGAGCCTTTAGGGCTCGTTCCCTCTGAGCCCGTAAGTGTGAGTGTGTCTGCGTGTGCACCAGTGGGAATTTCTTTGATAGAAGCAGCCAGATTCCAGAGACAGAGAGAAAAGGAGGGGGAAGAACAAGAGGGGAGGAGAAAATTGGGGGTGGGAGAGACAGACGGAGAGAACAGCGCGGGGGGTGGGGCGCGGGGAGAGGTAGAGAGGTGGAGGGGAGAACAGAGAGAGCGTTAGCGAGAGAAAGCAAGAGAGCGGGAGGGTGCGCGGAGCGGAGCGGAGACACAGCTCGCGGGGATGGGGTGAGAGCAGGAGGAAGCAGAGGCAGAAGCGGAGCGGGGACGCAGGTGCCTGCAACCCAGGATCCCGGGGCGCTAAAGGCTTCAGGTTCGGTGGCGCACTCCTGCGCTGGCCCCAGAGGTGCTGCGGTGGGCCGGGGCTCACTGCCTCGCGCCAGGTCCCTGTCCGGGAGGCGTCGCGGGGCTCCGGGGTGGCAGCGCGCCCAGACGTCTGCTCGGGAGGCGGCCCGAGGCTCCGGAGTGGCCGCGCGCCCTCCGGGGAGCCATGGCGGCGAGGGCCGGGGGTCGCCGGGCGGCGGCGGCGCCTAGGGGCTGAGACGACCGCGGGCCGCGCCATGGCGGCGCCGGGTTGCGGGCCCTGAGCGCCGGCTGGGGCGCGCACCATGAACTCGTGGGACGCGGGGCTGGCGGGGCTGCTGGTGGGCACGATGGGCGTCTCGCTGCTGTCCAACGCGCTGGTGCTGCTCTGCCTGCTGCACAGCGCGGACATCCGCCGCCAGGCGCCGGCGCTCTTCACCCTGAATCTCACGTGCGGGAACCTGCTGTGCACCGTGGTCAACATGCCGCTCACGCTGGCCGGCGTCGTGGCGCAGCGGCAGCCTGCGGGCGACCGCCTGTGCCGCCTGGCCGCGTTCCTCGACACCTTCCTGGCGGCCAACTCCATGCTCAGCATGGCGGCGCTCAGCATCGACCGCTGGGTGGCCGTGGTCTTTCCGCTGAGCTACCGAGCCAAGATGCGCCTCCGCGACGCGGCGCTCATGGTGGCCTACACGTGGCTGCACGCGCTCACCTTCCCCGCCGCCGCGCTCGCCCTGTCGTGGCTCGGCTTCCATCAGCTGTATGCCTCGTGCACGCTGTGCAGCCGGCGGCCTGACGAGCGCCTGCGCTTCGCCGTCTTCACGGGCGCCTTCCACGCTCTCAGCTTCCTGCTCTCCTTCGTCGTGCTCTGCTGCACGTACCTCAAGGTGCTCAAGGTGGCCCGCTTCCACTGCAAGCGCATCGACGTGATCACCATGCAGACGCTCGTGCTGCTTGTGGACCTGCACCCCAGGTGAGCCGAGCCCCTCGAGGGCTCTGGGAACAGCCGCCTGGGATCTCGGCGGGAGTGGGAGGTCCCCAGCTCCACGGGCTCTTTTCCACCAAGCCTCTATGTCTTCTGGGAACACGAGGGTGGGGAGCGGCCCAGGCTGTGGAGCTTAAATAGGTACTTAGGGTAACAGCAAACCAGGGCCACAAAATATGTGGCTGAGCCCATCTATACATAGTTTTGTGAAGCATCAGGGTAGAAATCACAGTCAGAACTCTGTAGAGCTTCTTCATGCTCATTTTCTGTGTTTGTAGCTTTCATTTTAAATGGCACATGGGAAGTCTGTGGTCTTTGTTCCCTGTTAAAGACCTCCCAAGTGTTTGAATCTGGCCCTGAGAAGGCAGCCTTGATGCTCAGGGAGCTCCTTAAGAGCTCTCCAAACCCAGGTGTGTCGCTTCTCTTAGTCTTTTCTCGGGTGTGTGGCACTGCCTCTGTCTCTGACCATGTGTGTGTGAATTCCGAAGTACTTGGGCTGCATCCTCCCTGAGGTGGGCTCTGAGGGGTGGGGCGGGGGGCTCTTCCTGCCCTCCCCAGAGAGCACCATCCAGTGTCTCCCGGACTTGGTGCCTAGAGGCTCCTGCAGAAGGAGTGTCGCCCCAAGGCTGCTGGGGCTGAACCTGCCCCCATCTGCGTCCTCATGCTGGCTTCTGTTCTCAGGAGGGCAGATGGAGCCCGGCAAGCATGGGTACCCTCTGCAAACCCCTGCCATCCGCAGGAACCTGTCAGGGAGAAAAGGAGGGAACTCTTAGCTGCGCTGTCTTGAGCTCACCTCAGCTTTCCCCGGGAGAATAGGAAATCGAGGAGGGAAACATCTGGCAGCGTCTGGACTCTGCTGTTTTACATCCTGTTGTCCCAGGGAAAGGCAGGCTCCCCCTGTCTCCTGGGACCCCAGATAAGGGGGTGCTGGGGTCCAGATGGCAGGTGAGGCAGGCAGAGGGCTCTGACAGGGCTAGTGAGGGCCTTCTGTGTGAGAGAACCCAGGGGAGCCTCAGGGCAGAGGAGGCTCCATCCTCTGGTGTATATGTTCCACAGCAGGATTGAGGGAAAGACGGGAGGTTTCAGGCTGAGCATTCTGCATATTTCCTACTCGAGAGCAGTGAGAAGCCGTCCTTGACCTTCACTGGGCCAGCACATTGAAGGGCAAGTGTGCACGTGTTCATTTCCCCCGGAGCACAGCCATTCCTGACTGCACACTGGATGAATCTTCCAACCACAGAATCCCCACAGATTCAGGAACAAAATGTACATGTCAGTGACTGAGAGCACATAGATACCAGGACATGTACATGTGGGAGCTCCACACACAGTCTCATGTGTTCACACATAAACTGCATACATACCACACAGCTGGCCATGCATACACAGGTGACAGGCATGGCATGCGTGCATTCTGCCACAAAGATATATGCTAGCTCTCACAGCACGTGTCTCTGCATGGTTCAGTGTCCTTCAAGGAAATATCTGCAACCACAATTGCAGAGCTATTCCCCTTTCCGTGACTCAGGGCTGAGACGCTCTTCCTTAGAGGGTGTATCCTTAGTGCTTGCGCTGGGACTGCTCTTAGAAGATGTAGGGCAATGTCGTTTGACTCCCAGAACTAAAGATTCCTAGAGGGGTCCCTCTCACCATGAGTCTAACATCGGAGGAGGGTTGAGCTGGGAGTGGAACCAGTTCTTATTTAGAGCAGTGCAAACTGCATTCCCACTCTTCCTCCAACTTCCAGAAGAGGAGGGGCTGTGGTTCCTGCTCAGCCTATTTGTGGTGTAGGGCCAGCTCCACTCCGGCAAATCCTTCTGGCTGATACCAGGCCAGACACTGCAGAGAGAGTCCTGGGGTCTCAGGAGTGGAGGCAGCTACTCTGCTCGCTTTCGGTCACCCCTCCACTTCCCTGGGAGGACCTTGATCTCTTCTTAGCCCCAGGCTGCTTTGAGGAGCCCCTGCTTCCAGCACCCCAGGATCCTCCAGGCCCATTCTTGTTGCAGAGAGGAAAGGCTTCTGGGGCCCGGCCCAGTGCCAACAGGCCCCCTTGACTAATGCTCCCTGAGGTCATGGAATTGTGGCAGACATGATAGCACTGCCCCTTCAATGAACACAAGTTTGTCCTTCTCTGGGGCATTGGTCCCCACCAGGTGTGTGGGAGGGACAGGAGGGGACAGCCAGTCCACAAGAGACCCTGACAGCCAGTCCACCAGCTTCTATCTTGGCAGCACCAAACTCTTCCTCCCTACAAATGAGCAGTGCAGAGCTAGCTCAGGGGCTGCCCCAGGTGCCACCAGTCTCAGCCACTAAGTCTCCCAGGGCCATTCTGTGCTGGGAACCTGTGGGACCTGGGAGTGCTGGTCTTGGGCAGCAGGAGACAGCTTCTCCCCCTGGACAGCCAGGATAGCAGCTGGAGCCTTTGCTCACTGGAAGTTTTGTCAGCCTCCACACTGATGGCTTCCTGGGACTTAATTACAAGGTACCCGTTTGAGGACCCAGGGTGGCATTTGTCTTTGTCAGGAAGCTCCCTGGTGGTGTCTGCTCTGCCTGCAGGATGTTTAGCATGATAAGTAGCAGTCCTCACCCCTTTGCTTCAACCACCTCCAAAACACCTGGGACCCTCTCTTCTTAATTCAATCTGGGACCCTTGGTGACATCCCCCACTCCTGCCTTTCTGTGGCGATTTCTTGAGTTACATTTCTGAAGCAGTTAGGAGTTTCTAATATTTGTTAGACACCTGGTCCTCCACCTGCAAGAGCAGCATTCAGTTCTCCCAAACCACAGCTGGGGACTAGTTATAGGGAGCCCCTCTCCTGGTGCTGCCAGGCACAGCAGAGCAGGTGGGCCCAGGGCATGGTTGCAGGGACTTTGCTTTTCCCCAGCAGAGTTATAGGGAGCCCCTCTTCTGGTGCTGCCAGGCATGGCAGAGCAGGTGGGCCCCAGGCTGTGGTTGCAGGGACCTTGCTCTTTCCCCACTCACCGGCTTGGCTTAGTGATTAACAGAAGCAGAACATTGATGACGAGATCTCAAAAGAGAAGCAGTGCCGAGACTAGCTGGAGCTTCCTCTGAGGCTCCCTGAGGCTCTGCTGGGTCCCCCAGCATGTCCTCCTTGTCCTGTGAGCAATGTCTGCACGTGTTGGCTGAGTGACTGACTCTGGAGATTGTCAGAATTGTGGCTCAGTAGACAGGAACTGCGCTGTGCCCTTGACTTTACAGATGAGAAAATGGGAGACCCAATTTTTGAAGAAAAGAGAAGCATTCAGCTAATTCAACAGATCTAGAAAGTGTCTCAAGCTGGCGGAGCTTGCAGTGAGCCGAGATCACGCCACTGCACTCCAGCTTGGGCGACAGAGCAAGACTCCATCTCAGAAAAAAAAAAAAATGTCTCAAGCTAAGACTCACACCCAGGTCTGCCCCTAAGATTTATAGAGGGAGCAATAGTGCACATGGGGCTCACCAACTGTATATATAGAAAGAGATTTAGAAGTTCTACATTAATCTTACAAACTGTTAAATGAAATGTGTTCTGCCCTCCTACCTTGGTGAATATACCTTTATAATGACCTGCAAGTCTGGGTTCATATTTAGAATTCTCAGGCTCCTTGGGGGTCAGCCTCATACACAATGGGAGAGCCGAGCTGGCCCACCTGCCTTGCCCTTCACCCTGGCTCTACCCAGCACCATGAGGGGCCTCCCTTGCACAAGGAGCACATTGCAGGTTGCATACCCATGCTCCATGCACATGTGTTGCTCACAAACACCACCCCTCAGGCATCTAGCTGAGCACACAGGTGGTACGGTCTACCCTCAGGAGGGTGGGACCAGGGGAGGTGCCCACACACATCTTGCAGGCAGGATGAGGGCGTTTGGGCAAAGAATTCCGTGTTTTAGGCATTTAGAGCTTGGTTTGGAATGGAAGGTGGTGGCTGTGGGTAGGCACATCCCCTTAGCCCCATGAACTCTTTATTGTATTGTGGGGCTAAGGGATTGTATTGTATTGAGGGCCAGACTGCTTATGCCAGTGTCCTGACTCGGAACACAGGGCTCTTGCCCTCCATCGGTCAGCTTGTTCCCTTGCCTTAAAACCCAGAAAAACCAATCTGAGTCACTCCCTAAGTACTCAGAGCATGGGATCTGGCTGGACTCCAGGTGTCGAGGGATGCTTCAGGACCTAGGCCTATTGCAGAGAGCAGGGAGGTGTCTGTGGCTGGAAGGTGTTAGCTGAGATCACCTCATTGATTGACTTCTCAGATATTCTTGAATGTACCATCCCCTCTGCCCTGTGACTGGAGCCACTGGGGAATATCTCTTCAACCCCACTTGTCACAATGCTAGAGAGTCTGTCTCCTTTTGTCTTGAGGAAGCCCTTTGTCATGTCACAGCCTCAGGACCTTCCCCCCACCTTCCCCGCCACACATGCTCTCACTCTGGCCAAACATACCTAGCCAGGTTGCATCATGAGAACTTTGAGTCTCACACCCTCTGCACCACAGATTCTGCCTGCAGGTCTAAGGACTCTGGGTGTCATCACCAGGCCAGGGGATGTTTGAGTATGCCCGCCACTCAGTGAATAGCAGGCAGAATCATGGAGCCACCCCCAGAACTCACTCAGGAGACCTGGGAAGAGGGCTGGCTCTGTCCTGAACGCACAGTGTAACCTTGGGCATGTTGGAAACTTCCCAGTCCTCAGTGTTCTCATCTGAAAATAAGCAAAATTACAGCGCACAAGGCTGCAAGATTTCTAAGAGCTCAGTTTTGCAAAGCTATGGTGGGGGAAAAAAGGCAGCAAGCGCAAAGTGGTGTTCTGGGAGCGGGTAAGCTGTTCTCATACAGTGCTTAAATAATAATCGTAATAATAAGCAAGAGGGCTGTGCTGCTTCCCTCGGAGCTTGGGGACTGCCCTGTCTTGCTCACTTCTTGCCACCTCCCTGTTCTCACCTGGAAAGCAGGAGAGCCTCAGGCAGGGGAAATGGATTCATCCTTTTCTTTGGAAAGAGTTCAGGAAAGGAGTGACGTGGCTCCCAACTAGGAACACCAGACTAGGAGTCAAGGAGTGGGTGCTAGCCCCACCTGCACTGCACTCTCTGGGTGGACAAATCCCTCTCTCTTTTGAGCCTCAGTTTCCCCATCTGCGATCTGGGGTGCGTGGTGTGGTGTCTTGCTGGTCTGTCCCAAAGCAGAGGTATGACCAGGCCCATGTGGATGTGAACCCCAGCACAGCATCCACTGTACAGACACTCTTAGTGCTCCATGGCAGGTCCGGTGCCATTAAGGTTAGGAAACCATGTCCACCAGGTCCCTGGGGGCCCAGAGAGGGTCACAGAGCCAGCACAAGCGTCAGGTCTCCACCTCAGGTCTCCTGACTCCTGGCTCACTCTTGTTGCACCTTCGGCACAGCCTCTGGTTACAGCTGTCTCTGTCAAATGCACAGTGCAGGAAGACAGCTTCTGCAGTGGGGGGAGCTTTGTGGTTTTGGAGGTGGTGCACATGCCCCCAGAGTCAGAAAGTCTGGGTTCAGGTCCTGCTGTCACCCAGAGTGACCAACCATCCTGGTGTGCCCAAGATAGAAGAGGGATTCTCAGATCTGAGCCTTTCCCTTTTAAAACTTGGATAGTCTCCTGCAAACTGTTCAGGAACAGTCCCAGATAAAATGGGACAAATTGGTCTTGCTACCACCACCGTTTTCCAGCTGTGTGATCTTGGGCCCTCCACTCCTCTGTGAGTTATATCTTCTCATCTGAAAAATGGGGACCACAATGATATCAGTCCCTCACTCACATAGATGTTGTGAGTTTTAAATAAATGAATAATCCCCATCACAGTATCTAGCATGGCACATATTATAGACTCAAGAAATGTGGATTGTTATTAATATTAATTTCTAGAAATTAATTAGTAATATTAATCATGAGTAATACATCTTCAGCCAGGACGAAATCTCTTTGTACCAAGCCCAACTCCAGTTCTCAACTCTTTAACTTCCTGGAAATGCAGAAGTCAGGGGGAAAAATCTTGGAAGAATTTTAGGAGGCTTCAATCTAAACTAATATGGACTTGTCCATCTGTGATAGGAAATCTAGTTAAGAGGAGCTTTGATTAAGTATCAAAATCATGAGTCTCCTGGCAGGCAGGGAAGTCTTCCCTGGCATCAGTGATGTACATGAACCTGGCTCATGAGTCTCCTGGCAGGCAGGGAAGTCTTCCCTGGCATCAGTGATGTACATGAACCTGGCTCATGAATATTCTCACCACTGCTTGCATTCTTTCAACAGACTGGCCTGTTTTTGGAGCCAGGCCACTGCAGCCCAGGCCTGGTGCTGCATCTTCACTTCCTGGGCAACTGTGTCCACAGTCTTCTTGATCATTTTTGATCCTCTGGAAAGGTCCCACAGCAGAGTGGAGCAGAAACACAGTCACAGTTAGAGTCTCCTGTTCATTTTTGATCCTCTGGAAAGGTCCCACAGCAGAGTAGAGCAGAAACACGGTCACAGTTAGAGGCGTAGGTGGCTCTTGATTCCATCCTCAAAGCTGTGTCCCTGATTCCATGGGGACTTGGGAGTCTCTTAGTCTCTTCAAGCTTGGTCCCAGGAGAAACCAAGTGACTCTTCCTTCAATGACCCCATCATGTGGTGTCTGTGGCTCCAGGCAGGGATGAGGCTTTGGATGGAAGAAGCAGGGTTGAAGACATGGAGGAAAGGAAGCCTCGTGCCACACTGTGCATGGAGTCTAGGCTGTCCCAGATGAAAAAGACCAGCTTTGAGTCATCCATGCAGGTTCAAGTCCTGCCTCCACTTACCAGTTAAGCAAATCATTTGGCCTCACAGAGCTCATAGTTTTCTTTTCTTTGCTTTTTTTTTTTCTTTTTTTTTTCTTTTGGTTTGTTTGTTGTGAGACAGAGTTTCACTCTTCTTGCTCAGGCTGAAGTGCAATGATGCAGTCTTGACTCACTGCAACCTACGCCTCCAGGGTTCAAGTGATTCTCCTGTCTCGGCCTCCCAAGTAGATGGAATTACGGGAGCCCACTACCATGCCCGGCTAATTTTTGTATTTTTAGTAATGATGAGGTTTCACCATGTTGTCCAGGCTGGTTTTGAACTCCTCACCTCAGTTGATCTACCAGCCTCGGCCTCCCAAAGTGCTAGGATTATAGATGTGAGCCACTGTGCCCGGCTGAGCTCATGGTTTTTATTGTAAACCAAGGCAGGTAAAAACTTGCCTTGCAGGTAAAACACACCTGCCAGGATTGATTGTGGTAAAGACAGGAATTTGAGATACTACTTAGAGAGTGAGGCAGTCTGGAGCCAGCACATAGCAGATGATCAGTGAATGATATGAGCAATAAGAGGTCATGTTTAACGTTGTTTAACGTTTATTTGTACTGACTTGGGCACCGCCGGTAGCTTTGTGTACTTCACACATGGAATGCATTTCATGCATCTCTGCTTTATGCATTTAATTCTCAAAATAGCCTCTTGTAGTATTTTATTACATTACATATAATACACTAAAACATATGACATATATTATTATTTTACACATGAGGACCTTGAGGCTTAGCAATGTCATACTGCGGGTCAATAGCTACAGCCAAGACTTGACCCTGGCTCTTTCTGACTCCATAGTCAAGTTCTCACACTACAGACCACTGCCTGTGTTTCTAAATAGTGCCTCAAGGGCATAGCAAGGGCGTCCCATAGGTCACCTCCTCTCGTCTCTCACGTGCAGTGTGCGGGAACGCTGTCTGGAGGAGCAGAAGCGGAGGCGGCAGCGAGCCACTAAGAAGATCAGCACCTTCATAGGGACCTTCCTTGTGTGCTTCGCGCCCTACGTGATCACCAGGTGAGCCTGACCGGCAGGTGTGTGGTGGGACTTTGAAGAGCAAGGTAGGGCCCAGTGGCCTTTAGCAGTGGCAGCCTCTCTTGGCCACATGTTCTTCTGCAGGGTGAGTTGTAGGGGGGCAAGAATGAACTTGCTGGATTTAGTGAACAGGAGGCTGCATGCTTTTCCTCTCCATCCTCGAATTCTTTTGGATTAGACTCAGAACCCAAAGGGTGTGAAAGACTCTCTCCCACTCGATTTCTAAATCATGTAATTATAACCCTTTATCCCAGGCTCCCAACCCCCAGGAGGCCCTAAAGAGAAGGAGAAGGTGAGAGAAGACAGAGGAAAGCATCCTCTTCCCCAAACCCCAGCTCCCCACATCCTGCTTCACCACCCACTGAATGCAAGACAGCCCAACCCCCAGGCTTCCCCAGCCTGAACATTCAGGTCAACAGCAAGGTCCCCTACCACCTACACAGAGAGTAGGTAGCATGCTCTGTGTCAAGCCAGGTGGGCATACCTGTTTGTGGCTCAGGGGCTCTTCCACTGTTAGGCCAGGCGCTGTGAGGCTTGTTGTGTTCTCTCCCAGATCTCCAGATTCTTGAGCCAGCCAAGGTTGCAATACACCAACCTGGGGCTGTGCATCCCTCAAGCCAGCTTGCTCTAGCTGGAACACTCCCCACATGTGTTAGCCAGACAGAAGAAAAATACATATTACCCAATCAGTTTTGTGCATTGGAGGGAAAATAAAAACTCCACAACTTTGCATCTAAAGGGGCTTAACTAGTTGAGAAGTTGACAATAAGAAGGGAACTTTGATGGTTATTAGAAGGTGGTTGTGGAAGCTTTCATTGAATCTGGGAAGGATAATCTGTGCAGGGTTTCTCTCTCTCTCTCTCTCTCTCTCTCTATCTCTATCTCTTTCTCTCTCTCTCTCTCTCTGTGTGTGTGTGTGTGTGAGAGAGAGAGAGAGAGAGAGAGAGAGACCCAGAAAAAGAACAGATCCCAGTGGCCAGTTTCCTCGTCTGCAGGAACCAGGAGGGGCACCCCTGCCTAACCATCACTCAGCAGTATCTTGCATGCCCCAGTGAGGGGGCCCTGTGGACAGTTCACCCTGTTTCCTCCCATTTGCCATTTGTCCTTACACTGAGCTGAAGCGTGATTTGCTCTGGTCACTGCCTCTGCTCCTGGCTCTTCTTTCTGTCATCCAGAATGCTATCTTCCACTCCCAAGAGCCCCTGTGGATTGCAGTCACTGAACCTGACTTCCTGGAGACCAGCTCCCCTCTTCTTTTCCCCAGATAGACACCTCTGGGGTGCCTTCCCCTGACTTCTGTGGCATGCTGCTTTCTCTAGGGAAGATCTAGTTAGCTGTGTCTTGCTTTGAATGTGGAACCAACACCTGGCTGCAGGTCTCTGGATGGGTCTGACCAGAGCAGAACTATTGGCTCTTCTTTCTAAAATTGTCCACTAGACCTCAGCATCACTGACATTGTGCCAGATAATTCTTTGATGCCAGGGGCTGTCCTGGGCATGAGGTGTTCAGCAGCATCCCTGGCATCTGCCCACTGGATGCCAGTAGAACTCCCCGTGAGAAAGGGTTACCCTTCCAGGTCCCTCTAAGTTTTGATAACCAAAAATGTCTTCAGACATCGCCAAATGCTCCCTGGGGATCAGAATCACCTCTGGTTGAGAACCACTAGTCTCGACCCACCACATCCGGCCAGGAAGCCAGAGCTTACGTCATTCAGGGTTTTCCACAAGACACAAAGTCTGGGCATGGTGATAGAGGAGAATAGATTGCTCCCAAGGGAGGTGTGGCAGAAGACTTAGCATCATGACTCTGGAGTGCACTTCCCTGGAGCCCAAGCCCCAGCTCCCCCACATCCTGCTGTGTGACTTTGGGCCAGTGATGTGGCCTCTCTGGATCTCCAGAAGGGAGTACAGTGTTGTGAGGCTGTAAGGACAGGGACCCTGGGAACATGTGGCTCAGCCCTGGCGGATGGCACCTGTGGTCTTCACTGTCCTTCCCTCTGGCACTTACAGCACCACCCACAGTGTCCCTGCCCAGGACTGGCTGCTGCAACAAGAAAGGCTTTGATGCAGTGAGGGGCGGCGCATCAGACAGGGAGGCCACACAGAGCCCCTCCTCTTAGGTACCGGAAGACAGGCAGCAGTGGGCTAATGAGGTGAACTTGAGCCTTCAGAGGATAGGTGACACGACTCCAATTTCAAGCTATTGGACTTTTCTCTGGCTTAATTTCATTTCCCAACAAAATTTTCCTTTTTTAAAAAAAAAAATTACAGCTAGGTTCTCTCTAGCGGTGCTCAGGAAGTCATGTTTCAGTAAAATGGTTGATAGATTACAACTCAATATGCTCCCTCCAAATGGATTTGATGCATCTTGGGTTTTAAAAAATATTCACAGAACAGTTCATCCTCCACGGAGATGAGCAGCAACCTACCCAGGAGAGAAACTATGCCCAGGAAACCTCATGAGTACAAAACATGTCTCTGGCAAAGTGCCCCCCTCCCCGGATCCCACTGCCCTCACCCCGTCTGCTCCTCCCTTGGCCTTCTCATGTGTGTGAAGGAGGCATCCTAAGAAAAACTCCTAAAATCAGCACACATACCCACATTCCAGTTCATCATGTCTCTAGAGCAGCTTTTCTTTGGAGCATAAAAGAATCCCTGATGCAGAAGCAAGGGTTGGTGCGACCCCAGGAGCTCCCCTCTGATGGGGACGTTGACCTTGTAGTCCTCTCACTCAGATGGAGCACTATGCTGTGGGAAAGGCACAGGCTCCATGGGTTCTGAGGCAGGAGTGAGCTCTCATGGCTGAGGCTCCACAGGCAAGACCTGTCAAGTGGACCTGGCTATTCAGGGCGACTGTCCCGGGAGAAGGGACAGCATGAGCCAGATCTAGAGCTGTGCTGTCCTGCAAGGAGGCCACCAGCAACAGGTGGCTACGAGGCACTTGAAACGTGACCTGTCCAAACAGATATGCTGTAGGTTTAAAAACGCACAAGTCCTGAGACTTCGCATTACATACTCTGTGTAGGAAATTAATACCTTTCTGGGCAGGCTCAGCTGCTGATACCTGTCATCCCAGGACTTTGGGAGGCCAAGTGGGGTGAATTACTTGAGGCCAGGAGTCCAAGACCAGTTGGGGCAACATAGTGAGACCTCTTTTTCCACAGAAACATTGACAATAAGAACTGGTAATTTTATATAGAATTCATAGTGAAATGATGAAGTTAAATGTAATATGTAATTAAAATTAATTGCACCTGTTTCTATTTACTGGCAGAGCATTTCAGGTGACACCTGCACCTGCCTTCTCTCTCTGTTGGACCTTGCTGGCCTGCAGTCAGGGAAGTCTGGGGTGTGAGGTGTGCCGAAGCCCTGCTCCCCACCCCACTCCTCCTAGACCTCGAGCTGCTCATATCATTCTTCAGTGGCCGGGACCTCCATGCCAGCCACTGTGAGAGGATGCTCGGGACTTCCTCCTCCACCTTTCTCCCCTCTCTGGACCCTGCTCAAAGTCAGGGTTTATCTGGGAATGTTTCCTGAGAGGCCAAATCAGTGTCTTCCTCCTTAGGGTCAGGAGGCCTGAAGGGAGGGGACACCCGGCCCTGAAACAAGGCAGCAGGGAAGGGAGTGCATGGTAAATAGAGCCTCTTGGTGGGTCCTCCTGAATCACACCCCTCTTGGAGCACCTGACCTTGCCAATCCCTCTATCCCCACATGGCTCACATAATGTCCAACAAGATGCTTAGTCTTTAGGGTGGCTAGGAGCTTCCCCCTGACCCGGCACCCTCTGATGGGCTTCTGTGAATTTATATTCACTGCACCAGGGGCCATATGAGCCCCAGCTGTGCATGGGCACGGCCGGGACCCCATCAGCGTTCTACTTCCCCTGCCAGGACATGGACTGCTGGGCTGGGCAGGGTGCGGAGGGGACAGGATTAATCTCACACCCACCTCCAGGGAGCCTGATGCAAACTCTTCCATCTTCTCTGAGTCAGGGTTGAGAAACACACATTGCTTGTGAGGAGAAGCCAACCAATGGTAAGGAATAAACAAGATGATCCCAGCAAAGCATTCAGCACAGTGTGGACTTATCATCCACGCTGGAATCGGGATCACTGACACTTCCTGGTGCAATTTTTGATTCTTCTGCTGTTCTTTTCGAGATGATTTCCAAGTGTAGACATGACCAGTCTCAGAAGAAGCTGAAGACAGACCTGCTGAAATGTAGTTGAGAATTTAACTTCTTGTAGAAAATGAGTCTTTGTGGAGAACCAAGAGCCATGGGTTTTGGAGGCAAAGGACCCCCTGAGCTATCATCTCATGCAGGAAGGGTGAGCTGTTTGCACCATGCACACCAACTTGAACCCACTGTTGGTGACTAGCAGAGTGCTGTTTTGAAAGCAATTCTGAAGCCAGGCTGGGATTAGTGGGAAAGTCGGGAGAGACGTGCATACTTGAAGGTTTTCTTTGGTTTGCCATCTTGGCTTCATTAGAATCACCTGGAGAGCTTTACATCCAAACCCATGTCTGGACCTCACACTGAACCAGTTCAGTTAGACTCCCTTGGTGTGGGCTGGGGGCATGGGTAGCTTTAAGGCACCTCAGATGATTCTAATGACCAGTGTGCTGACAGCCATGTCTCTAGTGCATCCCAACCCATTTTACTGCTGGAGCGTAACTGAGGACTGGGGTCAAGGAGCGTTTGAATATTGGCCCAGAGCTACTCATCTAGTTGGCAGTGGAACTGGACTTCCAACTTCATTAGGCTCTCTGCCCACCCTTCAGGCTTTCAGAGGCCTCCGGGGAGTCTTTGCAGACCCAGCCCTCCCCTGCTGTCTTCTGTGGGTCTGTGGCTGTGCCATTAAAGTGCATGGCATGCAGAGAGTGCTCCCAAACCACTTCCCCAGGATCCTCTACCCACTCCCAAGGCAGATCTCCTGAGGCTTGCTGAGTGAGTCATGCTCCTGGACCCTGTCAGCCCACTGT